CTGAAAACAACCATTTACTTTAACAAAAGCACATGTTAAATTAACTTGCAAAATTCTTCCCATGAGCGGATGTCCCAGCAAATCTCCCCCCCCCCCTTTCAGACTGTGCATTGCTCAGAGAAACTAGGAAAAAAACAGAGAGCTACATCTCAGACTGTACAGGCTTTGGTATCCTCCTAAAGGTTGAAGCAGATGATGGTACGATTAGAAAAAGTCTGAACAAGTATTGAAGGTTTGAAAGGAAAGCCTCTTCTCTCTAAAAAGAAAATGACAGCACGGCTTAGGTTTGCAAAGCTGAATTTGAACAAACTACAAGACTTCTGGACCAAAGTGGAGACGTTTGTCCATAATGCACAAAACCAAAGACAGCATATCAGCACAAAGTCGTCTGCACGATGATAGGGCTGAGGATTTGGGCAATTTGAACTCCTGTGTGTACCAAAGTATTCTAGAGTCTAATGTGAGCTCATCTTCCATTTGCTTGAAAGCTAAGACTTAGCCCAAAATGGGTCGTATAACAGAGCAATGATCCCAAGCACAGCAGCAGATCTACAACAGAACAGACCTCAGCCTGACTGAACTGCTGTGGTTGGACATTCAGAGAGCTGTGCATAAATGCAAACCTCACTGAAATGAAGCAACATTGGAAAAACGATTGAGCCAAAATTCCTCCACAGTGATGTGTTAAACTGATAAAATCATAAAGAAAACGATTAATTCAATGTATTGCTGCTAAAAGTGGTTCAACAAGCTCCTGAATCAGGTGTTTATTTAGTAGATTTACAGTTAGCTCTAGAAATGTGCCTTCATCTGACTATCCAGTCCTGTGAAAAACTGTAGTTCAAACTACTGCACAACATTTGGAAACCTCCGGCCTAATAAGAAACAGGTTTGGAAACTGAAAAGGTTTCACTCCGGTGGTGTTTTTTCAGTGCTTTACTTGAAAAGATCACATTTTGGGAGGCAGCTAAAGATTTGAATGGATAAATTAGCATCATATTTATCATTCAGTAATGAACTTAAACCTTTGATTCTGCATCAAACTGCTTTTTTGCCTGAAAAATTGGTTTATTACTTATTTATTTTTTCCCCCCAGAAGTAATTATATAAATCACAGATGTTCAGTTTAATATTATGCTAGCTAAAATATAAAGTTTCAAATTTATAAAAAAAAATTATTCAGTATTTACCTTTGATCAAAAATATTTTATTAATTATCTTACCACAAACTTTTTCTATCATTAGTAAGGGCTGTTCATTGCGAACTCTTTAAATGTCTCTAAACTTGTGTGAAAACCTGATGTTTTGAGGAACATTTTTGATTGTTTTCCCTCCTGGTGTGGAGACTCTTGAATCGGTCTGACAGTCAGGAAGGATTTCTGAGCAGCTTTGAGCCTCTAAATAATGAATGTTGGCTGCCTCACTGTCTCCTTCGCTGAGTGCAGCTGGCCATTATCTGAGGTATCCTTACTGGTTGTTGCACATCTGATCATTTGGCCTCAGCAGTCAGTCTGCTGTTGTCAACCTTTATGTCTCTGATTTATCTGTCAGGAAGGAAATATTGCAGCTTTCGCATATTAATTACATTTGATCCTTATGCTAAATTTACTAAACCATAAACACATGTATAGAGTGTGGGGTCTCCTCAGGGTGTCTCAGGGCTAGATCCAGTCACATAAAAAAGAAAGATGCCACTCAGACATCCTCTTCTAAAAATGATCTGTGACAGTGGAGATCAGAGTGAGTTTTAAAAAACAAAAATAAAGCTTTTCAGGTAGTTTTCCCCACTTAGTCAGTTATAACTAAGTCTGTACATCCATCTTGATCTGAATGAGACGGACTAAAGCAGGGCGCTGAGGAAGGCCAGACAGTGTCGGAACCACCAGAATATAAAAATGGATTTTGAATATGCCTTTTGCTCGCTGTTTGCACGTGGAGGCAGCAAAACAGACAGACTGGATTTCCCTCAGCTGAAGACCAAGACAGAGCTAAATGAAATTCAAGGTCAACTCAATGATTTATTTATCAGAAATTCACAAAAAGCCTTATAACTATAAAAGTGACCTATACAAGTGTGGTGTTTTGTCAACATATACATAGTACCGTATAAAGACTTAAAATCTCATGTCACACTTGACCTTTGACCTGTTCTTCAAGGTAAAGGGTTTGATCTAAAGGTCAAATTAACAATGCCTTACGGAGTTTCTTACTGACACTGTTATTGACATATAGGGAATGTTAATTATAACTTACAGGTACATTTAAAAAGAATGCAAAATGAATATATAGAAAATATTAATTTCCTCAAAAGATTCGAGCTCTTTGAGTGCTTCTTTTTTTTTTGTAGTTTAAGGCGTTTTGTCTTTTTTTAAAATTATAAATAAATGATTAAGTTGACCTTAAGGACCACAATGGACGTAAGCCAAATTTTAATGACCCCATTCGACACACCTACACCTACCCAAGTGTAATCAGAATTCATTCTAAACCCTTCGAGCTATACTATTTACAGACAGACACACAAACGCTACAAAAAACAACATAATAAATAATAATAAAAAGATTATCAGGTGGAGTTGATCTGATGAGGTCACCAATGTTGCTTGATGTAATCAAAATAGACGGATAGGTTAAGTTTAAAAAAAAAAAAAATTTAATCAGAAGGAAAGATAAAAGCCATTTTCGTCTGTCGCCTTATCTTTGATTGAGCCTCAGTTCTGTTTATCAAGGCGACACTCTGTCAACTGTAAACTTAAGGTTTCCACCCAAAGCAAACGAACCAGTGAGTGTTGCTTTTCAGTCGTGTGTGTGTGTGTGTGTGTGTGTATGTGTGTGTGTGTGTGTGTGTGTGTGTAAGCGGGGGCAGTGTGCATGTAGCACACAGCTGTTTGAGGCTTTATGCATGTGACGACTGTAGGAGCTCATCTGGATTACAGTAGTTTAACAGAGGACACACATTTAAACTGGTTAAGCTGGAGTAGGAACAGTTGAGATTTTCCAGTCTAATTTTAAGCATTTATTAAAAAAAAGATGATACTCTAGTTATTTAGTACATAATGTTCAACTTTCCAGTAAGATCTGTGTTGTTTGTAATTTTATTTGTACTAATCTAAACAGATCTAAAAGGATTTAAAGTCACATTTTTAGCAGCCACTAAGTGAAGTTTCTGGTCTGACAGGTGAGTTGACCGTTAATACCCGAGCAGAGTTTCTGTGAGAACGGTCGACTCCCTAAAGATGCCCCTCGCAGAGTGAAACCACAGTTAGTCATGCTGTTACTCAATGTAAAACTCAGCTCCTTAGCAAATCACTGCTTTCAACATAGCTCCCGTGCAGCTCTGTTAAAGCATGAATCACCAGATGAGCAGCTCCCCCCGCAGCCTGTTCTGCCAGCCTGTCTGAGAGCGCCGCTACGCTCAGCTAAAGGCTCGGCCGATTTCGTCGTTAGTTCGAAGTTATTACTGCCAGCATTTGGTGACTCACCTGGATTGTCTCAGGTAGGAGGTAAATTGAAGGGAACAGCAGGGTTTAAATAGCTGCAGTAGGCTATAAAACTTTTTCTTCAAAGGCATCAAAAGATTAAAAACCCTGTTGTGACGAAAGCGTGAAAGATGGCTAACTGCTAAATTTGTCTCCTCCTCCAGAACCCCGACATGCTGACGAGGAAGATAAAGCTGTGTCACATCAACGCCCACATCACATGTCGTCTGTGTGAGGGCTACCTGATTGACGCCACCACCGTCACAGAGTGCTTACACACCTGTAGGTCCTCCCCACCCCTCACTCTGTGATTTCAAGTACTCTCGCTTCTTCTTTCTCATCTGCTCGCTTCTGTTTTTAAGTTTTCTTTTGTCTCTCTC